TTTTCGTTTGTATTTTGTATTTGTTTTTGCGTTATGTTTGAAGTTGTTTTTGTTTTGGTTGGTTGTGGTTAGGGTGGGCAAAGCCGGATGTAAACCGATTACTAAACACATATGTCATGTTCCTTTACAGATAGGTTTTCACAAAGGCCAGTGCAGAGCCTTGCCGGAACGGCTAGTATATATCTAATATACAAAGTTCAATTCTGTATGTGGTTGACAGCGAGCCGCAAATTTCAAAGTCTAGCTGTAGCAGTACTCAAGTTATCGTGTTCACAGACACAAATACACACACACACACACACACATATCTACACAGACATAATGATAATATTGCAAAACTATTATTTCCCTCTCAGGGATATGTAGAACGACAAGATTTGTAAACAACTCGATTTTTGTACATTCTAGTATATGAAGTAGCTTATAGAGAAGGTATTGTAATCGTGCAAAAAAGTGAGATCAATCCCGCTTTATTTGAGACAATAGTGTTTAAAATAGGCACACTTGAATTCCTCACATTTTTCTCCATTGTGCGATTTGTATACGACAACAGGCCAGACGTGTTTGTTTGCTAAAGGTTATCTTGACCTTAAAGTATTAATTCTGCACCCACAACAATGTAAGCTAAACATGTTCTGCCACATTCCAAGTTAATCGATTTAAAAACATTGACAAAAAAATAAAAGCTGCATAGTTTCTGTTTGTAAATTGTGCAGTTTACAGTGGGGGAACTAGAGAAAAAGGGCCACCCCGCAAAAACATGTATTGCCCCCCCCCTCCTTCCACGATATATATATATATATATATATATATATATATATATATATATATATATATAAATAAATAAATATATATATATATATATATATATATATATATATATATATATATATATATATATATATATATATATATATATATATACATATATATATATATAAAGGCCTATATATCAGTGGCGTAGCGAGGTCGGGTGTTACCCGGTGTGGCACCTGATGGTGTCACCCCCCCCCCCCCCCTAAAGAAAATCTGTAAATTATCTATGTCATCCGACATTTAAAGTCTTTTATGACTGAAACTTTGCTTGTACGATAGATACTCATTTATTTTGCGTTAAACCGCACATAATTTTCACCACGCCTACCATTAATCCAACTTGCCTATCTCTACTCCATATTCTCCAATCCCCCAACCTGGGTTAAATAGAGTTAATCTTTCCTCCACATACCTTGTAATACTATGTCGATTTTGAAAGTAAACACAATGTCGTTCCCCTGCTCTGCACAAAGTGGTCAGAGAAATAAAATCAGGACTACACCTAACCGCACTAACATTAAAGTAATTAATTACACAGTTTATATATATAAAGCAAAGTGGTCGGGTGCCCGATAGGGCACTTCCCGGCGCCACGGGCGCGTCAAATTTGGCACGATGGTGCCTTGAGGCGATAGAACACGAGGGCCGGTGACGGTTCGCCGAAAAGTCTACGGAGAGGGGGTCAAAACTGACCTCGACTGACCGTCGCCTTATATGGGCTATATTACGAAAAAAAATTTCCTCCGACGACCCCCCTTGAAATTTTGTGAGGTGGTAGAAGAACGCCTAGGGGTGTCACAAAAAAATCGGCATATCTGGGAAAACTTCGTAAAGGGGTCAAAACTGACCAGTTGTATTTCCCTATATAATCTTTGTATTTTATGGGAAAAACAGAGGGTATATTGAAAACAGATTTTAGGGCACTAAACCACTTTACATCTGGCTAATTTTTGGCATGCTTATAGGTAAATGACTAGACCGTAGGGCAGACCTGTCGGTTTGACTCAAAGCCCTCGACGAGGGCTAAAAAGTGACCGCGGGTGAAATTCTCTTTATATGAGCTCTATTACGAAAAAAAATTTCCGACGACGACCCCCCTTGATATTTTGTGAGGTGCTAGGACAACGCCTTGGGGTGTCACAAAAAATTCGCCATGTCCGGGAAAAAACGGGAAATGGGTCAAAACTGACCAGTCGTATTTCCCTATATAATCTTTGTATTTTATGGGGAAAACAGAGGGTCTTTTTTAAAACGGATTTTAGGGCACTTACCCTCTTTACATCTGGCTAAGTTTTGGCATGCTTATAGGTAAATGGCTTGGCCGTAGTGCAGACCTGTCGGTTTCACTCGAAGCCCTCGACGAGGGCTAAAAAGGGACCGCGAGTGAAATTCTCTTTATATGAGCTCTATTACGAAAAAAAATTTCCGACGACGACCCCCCTTGATATTTTGCTAGGTGGTAGGAGAACGCCATGGGGTGTCACAAAAAACTCGCCATGTCCGGGAAAAATCGGGAAATGTGTCAAAACTGACCAGTCGTATTTCCCTATATAATCTTTGTATTTTATGGGGAAAACAGGGTAATTTCTACACAAATTTTAGGGTACTTACTCTTTGTATAACTGACTAATTTTTTGCATACACCTCTATAGATGACTGGGCCGTATGGAAAAACTGTTGGTCAGCATCAAAGCCCTCGAAGAGGGCTAAAAATGAATGCGAGTGAAATTCTCATTATACGAGATTTGGTCATTTTGTTTATGAACAGGGGAGGTAACTTTTTAATGTAACAATTTTTTTTATATTTTGTATACTCTTTTAAGAAAAAACAAAAATCATAAAGTGCAGCATTGTTTTAAACGAATATTTTGTTATAAATTAAGTTTTGTATTGTATTGAAATTGTAAAATTAATTGCAAAAGTAATTTAATATTATATTTGATTAATAATTTTTATGAAAGCCCTTTCAGTTCTAATAACCTTGCGAGTAATAAGTTTGCGAATATTCCATCAATTTATGGGTACAATATAAGTACCCCACTGTATAAATTTAGGCCCTAAACATTTAACATAACAGCCAATCACCTATTAATTAATCATTCAATTTCTCAACTTTTTTGAAAACCTAAGCGAAGCTAGGCAGTATGCCTAGTAATACAATAATACTAATTACTATACAGACATTCATGAACGACAGCCAACAAAGTTTTTTTCTAACAATAGATTTTTAGTCATTTTTACTTTCTCTTATACGAAGAATTTAGATAGAAGTGTAATCGTGCAAAAAAAAAAGTGAGATTTTTACAAATCTCGACCTTTTACACCTCCCTGAGTCGGAAAAACATAGTTTTGCAATTTTGTCCGTTTGTCTGTGTGTGTATGTGTGTATGTGTGTCTGTAAACACGATAACTTCAAAACCGTTACGGCTAGGTGGATCAAATTTCAAGAATAATTTTCATATTAGTTTTGTAGTTTTGCATCACTTTTTCAGCAATTTCCGGTAACCGGAAGTGGCACTTATTCTACTTTTAATTTTTCAAAGCCTATAAATTGAGTACTGTTTCAGTTAGATAAATGAAATTCATATGTGAGTAAAAAATCTAATTATCTACATTGTGTCATATTTTGCGCAATTTCCATTGACCGGAATATTCGAGAAAGTTTAGGGGAGATCATTCCCGTTTTTTTTTTAATTTGCTATAGAGTTGCATGACTAAAAACCATTGCGCACCTAATGAACGTGATAACGCTTATAATAGTGGGGAATAGTTGGGTAAGAAAGCCAAATAATTTGGTCAACATTATAATTAATTAATAAAAAAATCTAATTAGGCATTCAATTAAGTCAAATTTTTTGTCAGATTGCATTGTCTTGACAAACGTATCAACAATGAATCGATTATATCAGTTAGACGTGCCCGAATTTTCGCTCGGGCGTTTTGATCTAGACGGACGACTGACGACAGACAGTGAGTTGAATAAAAGATTGTAAAAATTAAATGTTATAGTGTTGTGTGCGTTTCTCTATTGTTCTATTTAAAGTGTTAATAATTCAAAAATTGTATAAATACATGAGTGTATAGAAATAAAATAGGTAAATTACCTTGGTCACGTAAATATAAAAGATGAAGTATGCTTGCATAGAAATCCGTACAGTACTCTTCTATATACTAAAAACTCAATTGGAGATTTGCACGAATGACTCGCTGCTGTACGATCTAAGGTGTGTTGTTGACACACCTTTATAATGCTGTGTAAAAAGGGCTTTACGATTCTTTTTTGTTTGTTGATTTCTTACAGCAGACGTTTATTTAGGATTTGAGACAACAAGAATTAGACGTTACTATATATATCTGTGCACACACACTCAAATATATATATATATATATATATATATATATATATGTGTGTGTGTGTGTGTGTGTGTGTGTGTGTGTTTGTGTGTATAATACATATATAAAAGTATTATACATATAAGTATGAATACATGCATATATGTATAATACTTTTATATATGTATTCTAAACACAAACATATATATATATATATATATATATACATTTTTTGTATACTACTTTTATATATGTATTATACACACAAACACACACACACATATATATGTATATATATATATATATATATATATATATATATATATTTAAATATGTATATATATATACAGAGAGAGAGACATATATAGACATTAATGTATGTACGCATATCAATGTGTCTGAATGTGTATTTTACATTTTGGATGCTTCACTTGCTAACAGTATATTATGGTAGGTCTACACATGTTTGTTGTAGTAAATAAAAAATAACCGGGAGTGATCTCCCCTAAACTTTCTCGAATATTCTTATATAAAACAACAGGGGATGGGAACTCGGGATATAGTTATGATTTTTAATCCATTTTAAATACTGAAACTTTTAAAAATAGAATAGAATCTCAGTAAAAAACAATTGCGCACCAAGCGAACGCCTAATAAAGGTGTGTATAATAGTGCGCAATAGTATTAGTACTTAATAAATTTACATTAGTTTTTGAGAAATCGGAAGTAGCGTAAATTACTACTTCCGGTCAACGGAAATTACTCAAAATTTGACAGAAGGTAGAGAATTAGATCTTTTACTTACATATCAAATTTCATTTATCTATCTGAAATAGTACTCAAGTTATAGGCTTTTGAAAAATTCAAAGTAGAAAAAGTACCACTTCCGGTTATCCGAAATCGCTCAAAAGTTGATACGGATCTACGATTTTGATAAAATACTTGTATATGAAATTTCATCAACCTAGCTGTAACGGTACTCAAGTTATCGTGTTTACACACGGACACACACACACACACACACACACACACACACACAGACACACAGACATACGGACAAGATTGCAAAATTATGTTTTTCCGTATCAGTGAGATGTAAAACGTCGAGATTTGCAAAAATCTCGATTTTTTTTTTTGCACGATTACAAGACTTTCTCTATACTTCGTATATACGAGAAAGTAAAAAGATGTCACAAATGATAGAGTTTAAGATTCAAAGCAAACATTATTTTTATCATTAAACTATATATATTTATGCACACACACTCATATATATATATATATATATATATATATATATATATATATATATATATATGTGTGTGTGTGTGTGTGTGTGTTTGTGTGTATAATACATTTATAAAAGTATTATACATATAAGTATGTATACATACGTATATGTATATATATATATATATGTATATATATATATATATATATATATATATATATATATATATATATATATATATATATATATATATATATATATATATATATATATATATATATATATATATATATATATATATATTCTGCGAAAAGAAATATTGAAATTCACAAGGGTGGCGCCCCGTCAGGGCGCGATTTGTTTTTCTCTATATACGGTATATAAAAATTAAAGTCGATTTTTATTTGACACCATTCATCTGATCGCTATCAAACTTTAGTGAGTTCATACGAACACATTAAGGAGAGGTTCTGTAAAAAAATCATGTTTAATTTCACAAGGGCGGCGCCACGAGAGGGTGCGATTTTTCTCTTTTTACCGTATATAAAAATAATAAAAGTGCATTGCCGTGACACCGTTGACATGATCGCCATCACACTTTGGGAAGATGTTGAGAATGTTCCTGGGGAGGTTTCTGCGCTAAAAACATTTTCAAATTCGCAGGGGTGGCGCCCGGTAGGACGCGATTTGTTTTTTCTCTATATATGAAAATAAAAGTCGATTTTGGTTTGGCAGCGTTCACCCGATAGCCATGAGACTTTAGGGAGTTGATTAGAACACTCTAGGGAAGTGTTCTGTTAAAAAAAGTCCTAATTTCGCAAGGGCGGCGCCACGGGAGGGTGCGATTTTCCTCTATATACGGTATATAAAAATAATAAAAGTGAATTGCAGTGACACCGTATATCCGATAGGCATGAAACTTTTGGGAGTTCATTATAAAACAACTCTAGGGAAGGGTTCAGTAAAAAATCATTTTGAATTTCGCTATGGGGCGTTACAAACGATTACTAAATTGAATTAGGCGTGTCCTCTGTCGCACTGGTAGGGTGCGATTAGGCTGTAAATAAAAATGTCTGTTTCGGCCCCCAAAGGCTCACATAGGCCGCTGAGGGCCATGTAATACGTTTTATTTTAATAATCAGAAAAATTAACCAAGGTTAGATTATTAACTGGGATGTTTCTTTTTGTCCGTAAAAAAATCCAAACAGTTGCGTCACTTTGCGAATGATGCAATTAGCATCTATTTTTAGATAATCCAAACAGAAATTGAGATCGAGCTTCTAAAATAGACCATTAGTAACGCTAATATATTGCACCAGTCACAGTGATGTTTAAAACGCGTCAAATAATTTTTTACGTGTTAAATAACAAATCCTGTTAATTTGTGTCACTTTAGTGAATGACGCAATCTGCATCATTGTTAACAGGATGCTATTTTAAGGAGCCAGGGGTCGTACGCCGCGCCCATGCAGTAGTGTAATCGGGGGGTGGGGGCCCTGAGAGCGCCCCTCTACGTCTCTGACACATGGGCGGTCACCGAAGTTTGCTCTACCATATTATTTCGGTTAGTGATTAATGTACTCTCAAGGTTTTCATGTGGTAGTGTAGGGAAACCCGTGTCCCGATATTTATGATTCAAGCGGGCCATTGTTTACATTTAAATAACTCAATTTTAGAAAAGAAGGTCACGCGTCTAAGAACATATGAGTGGTAACGCGTTGGTGAAATCCTTCTAATATATTTCGTCAAACTTTCTTCTATCCCCGCGGCAACGCGCGGGGGGCGGGTACGCTAGTGTATATATATATATATATATATATATATATATATATATATATATATATATATATATATATATATATATATATATATATATATATATATGATGGCTCTCACATGTTATATAACTACTTATGTAACATGTTATATAACTACCGTTATTATAAAATTAGCTGTCTGCCGACTTCACTACTCTCAACCCTGAAACACCAGTCTATAACTTTACTATAACGATAAAATTAAAACACGTTATTTTGGTTCCTTACACTATAACATGTGTAAAGAATATATTACCTATATTGTTTCTGATTAGATAACGATAACGATGGGAGAATAGATGAGGACTTATCTAAACTCAGCAGACGTAAGTCAGTGTATTAACAAAATGTATATACATCAGGTGGTTGTGCATTATTGTTTTGTGATAGCCCTTGTGCGCGTGTGTGTTAGTGTTAGTGTGCTTGCGTGTGTGTGTGTGTGGGTTAGTGTTGCAGACCTGTAATCTATGCGGGTGTTTGCGTGCGTGAGTATTGTAAGGGCATGTATCACAGTGTGTTGCGATGACCGAATGGGTAGATCTGAAATGTATGCCTGTGTTATCGTGTTATGTGTGTGCTTGTATCTGTGTGTGCGTGTGTCTGTGTGTGTATGTGTGTGCGTGTGTCTGTGTGTGTCTGTGTGTGCGTGTGTCTCTGTGTGTCTGTGTGTGCGTGTGTCTGTGTGTGCGTGTTTATGTGTGTGCTTGTGTCTGTGTGTGCGAGTGTCTGTGTGTATGTGTGTGCGTGTATCTGTGTGTGTCTGTGTGTGCGTGTGTCTGTGTGTGTCTGTGTGTGCGTGTGTCTGTGTGTGCGTGTGTCTGTGTGTGCGTGTTTATGTGTGTGCTTGTGTCTGTGTATGTGTCCGTGTGTCTGTGTGTGTGTGTATGTGTCTGTATAATGATACCCAAACGTGTACAACTGTAATGTACGCATGTGTTTGTGTGCAATTGTGTTGCATGTTTGCGTGTTGCCGTATGTGTAGATTACCTAACAGGGTGTGTCATTCCATTCTAGAGAACGGGGGATGGTCACCCTGGGTCTACACAGAATGTTCTAGAAACTGCAGTGACTACAAGCGGACCGCCTCAAGGTCAGTCTGCGATATGCTGATACGATTGTGTTGGATTAGAATGGTTGATACAGTTTGGAACCCCGAATGATGTCAGTTCCAATCACTGAGCGAGCTCAGCACTATTGGGTACCTGGCTTAAATTGGAGAAAATATCATCTGTTATAACACTACGGTGGCGATTAAGTTGTGAGCTCAAAATATTGATTGTGTCATCAGCTCTATTGAGTACCTGGCATAAGTTGGAGAAAATACCGACTTTTTACACACTGGTGACAAATGTGTTCTTTATTTTGCAACAGAACAGTTTTACATGTATCTACCATATTGTCTACAAGGAAGTAAACCCTTGCAGTTTTTGCTAGGAATGTTACTATGCTAGATAACTATACTGGTTTTATATTATTGAATCATTTAGTTAACAACGGATATAGAATTTAACAATTACATTGTAAAATATAATGAATAGAACTTTTTATTGAATGAACGATGTCAATTTTGGAAATAACCGAATCAGCCAATGATAATCTGTATGACACAAATTGTAGGCACTGCATTACGTGTGTGGGTTATCTCCTATGTTGATCCCCCCTCCCCCACCCCCACAGGAAGTGCGACAAACCAGAGACCCAGAACTTCGGGCTGTACTGTGAGGGCGTGGGATTCGAGTTGCAGGAGAAAGGTTGTCACGTGACTTTAAAATGCCCCGGATGTAAGAGGACATCACTAACCGCAACCCCTCCCACCACCAAGCCTCTACCTATCTCCACAACAATTAATATCTAAGAGAGGGAGAGAGAGAAGAAGATAGAGCTTTAGAAGAGGGAAATTAAGGATGAAACCCCCCCCCCCCCACATCCGTTCACTAAACAAATTGTTTGTGGCCTGCAGTGTGTGTAGAGAACTTATACAGTGGTACTGAAAAGTACCAGACAAAACTTCATGCTTTCATTAGTAACATGGCCCTTTACACTTATAACAGTTTGCCCATTAGTAACATAGCCCTTTACACTAATAATGTGTCTGAAAGTTTGCCCATTAGTAGCTTAGCCCTTTTCACTTGTGACAATTTTCCCTTTAGTAACTTAGCCCTTTTCACTTGTGACAATTTTCCCATTAGTAACTTAGTCCTTTTCACTTGTGACAATTTTCCCATTAGTAATAACCGTTTACGTTTCCGTCAAAGATTGCCCACTAGGAACCTGGGACTTCAACTGTAAAGGTGTGTGCCTCAACTGTCACCCGGACTGCGACAAGTGGAACGGCACGTGCCAACACTGCACACGGGGGCATAAGCTGGCGGACGGGAAGTGTGAGCATGGTAAGCTCGTCTGACGTCACACGGTGAGGGGGAAGTAGAGTGACGTCATGTAACACAGTCGTGTAGTCAGGTCCAAGGTTTGACCTATTGTTACCGTGTGTCTGTCTACAGTGTGTACAGCCGGCACATACGGCTTTGCTTGCGGTGGGAACTGTCTAGAGAAGTGTGGGACAGATTGTATTGACCGTGTCCACGGCAAGTGTCCAGGTCAGTAGTGTCGGTCAAAACCTCTGCCTTTGTATATGAAAAATCACGACTGTATGCATAAATGTATACATAAAGATATATACATATATATATATATATATATATATATATATATATATATATATATATATATATATATATATATATATATATATATATATATATATATGTATATATATGTATATATATATATATATATATATATATATATAATTATATATATAAGCATTTATGTATGAATATATAATAAATGTATTCACACGTATATATATATATATATATATATATGTATATATATATATATATGTATATATATATTTATATATATATCTATATATATATATATATATATATATATATATATATATATATATATATATATATATATATATATATATATATAGGTATGCACATGTATATAGCCTGTTTTAATCTTCGATAGGCAAGGATGCATCAAACTCATTCTCCTATTTCTGGTTGGGAGTATTATCATTACCACTCTTGATAGTGCTTGTACTCTAGTAAGTTTCTTTATTTCTTACGTTAGTTTTAAACTGTGCCAGCCATTGATACACGCAATAGTTAGCCTATTCTTCCATAGCACATATCGCACCCAAAAGTGTTTTCCAAACGCGTACCACTTCATCCACCTAGACACACAACCACAAAACGACGCGATACAACTCGACCAAACACTACAACCCTATTCTATGCTTATAACACTATACAAATCAACATTCACTGATACCAAGTGCATCATTTTTCACCCTTTACCAGACGAGCGCTGTCTCTCCCCCCCCCCCCCCCTCCTTCACCACTGACATCACCATACTATAATATTCAATAATAAGAAATACACTACACGGAATCGAAATTACTGAACCGTTTGGTCCCGAGTTCGAACCCCGGGCAGTCAAGGCTCGATAACCGGGGGACAGCAACCCATCTAGGAGAGACAACTCCAAAATCAAACAACTGCTGCCTTGTTTGATTTTAGTTGGAGAAAGGATACTGAAGCAAATCCAAAAATAAAAGCAGGCTGAAATGGGAGTATACGGCCTCCATTTCGCACAAGTTGACCCGTAATACTAAATTATTTGGAAGATAGCTGAAATCCCTTTCAAAATTAGAATTAAGAATAAGAATAAGGAATTGAAATGGATTAGACATTGTTAGCTGTATCCTATCGTAAATTAGTTTTACAAATCATAAAAAAAACTTATAGTTTCCTCTTTGAACCTGACGGTCCATGGGGCAAGTTAAGTAGAATTCACTTGTGATTATGACATCGTCATATCAAGAGATAGTGTGGTCAGCACTTTGCCCAGCCGTCCTTACTTTCCCTAACGTGAGTTACAAATCCTCATGATAAGGAAAAAGAAAGAAAAACATTTAAAATGTTGATTTTAAAACAAACTTGTAAAACAAAATGAGTATGAAACGATGTTTCATTTGTTTGTAAAAAAGTGTTACATTTTCTTAGGCTATTGATAACATTAAAAAAAGGAATTAATTTTTAAAATGTTTATAAACAAAGCAAAATACGCCCATGTTGATTTTTTGAGAAATAATTTAATTTGAATGTCGAAAAATAATTTAATTTCTAAACAAGCTGTATAAAAGCTTATTTAGATTTCCAATCTGCTAATGAGATACTTCTTTACACCATTAATTGGTTTAAATACGATGCTCATTTATTGACCGGTACAATAAAACTTCTCTTACGAATCTCCATTCTCTTGCAGCCTGAGAATTAGAGATCGAAAAGAAATGGAGGCACTGAAGCCTGACGATACGTCACAAAACAATTTGTGAAAGATTTTTTTGTTTGGATTTTTATTTCGTTTAACCACTTGTCAGGATGATGTTTCGTAGGATTTTATGAATAAACACATTAGTTATATTTACGTTTGTTCGTTAGTAAATAAGGGAAACTGTCGAGAATGATCAATGATGATTGTATGCCCTTGTTGTATACAAGCTTATGACTTAAGCGTATAACACGAATTGGAGGAATGGTGTTTTACTAACTTGTTACATCGGGACAGGGGTGGGTTTCTGGTGGTTTGTCAGGTGGTGGTGGTGTTTGTTGTGGTGATGGTGGTGGTGGTGATGATGGTGATTATGGTGGTTGTGATGGTGATGGTGATGATTGTGGTGATGGTGGTTGTGTATCGAACATAGTTTTGTGTTTTTGAATTTTTTGCACAGTCCATTGGTATACTCATATGTTTTCTTGTTTCAACTTACTAAGTTATATGCAGTTGGGTTGCTATTAGATTAAATAAGGGGTAATCATATTCAAGCTGAAAAATCACATTTTTAATATTGATTAAAGTGAAAAAATTATAATTAAGAGAACAATATAACTGATTATTTAAAAATATATAAGCATAAAGATTAGTAGAACTTGGGTATTAAGGTTTCAGCCTTCTTTAGACTTGTCACAAATGTATGTCAAGCATGAGTAGAAATGTCACAAGGTAAAGTCAGGAATATGTAGACTTGTCACAATGTGATGTAAGGTATATGTAGACTTGTCACAATGTGATGTAAGGTATATGTAGACTTGTCACAATGTGATGTAAGGTATATGTAGACTTGTCACAAAGTGATGTAAGGTATATGTAGACTTGTCACAAAGTGATGTAAGGTATATGTAGACTTGTCACAATGTGATGTAAGGTATATGTAGACTTGTCACAATGTGATGTAAGGTATATGTAGACTTGTCACAAAGTGATGTAAGGTATATGTAGACTTGTCACAAAGTGATGTAAGGTATATGTAGACTTGTCACAAGGTGATATCACAAAGAACAAATTTTGCAAAACCAACAACAACAAAAGTGTGTTCATATATTTGATTTATTCCAGAGTTTGCGAGCTTTTTTTCTGTTTAATCATGCAATTTCGCCGTATTTTGCGTTATTGTTTTAGGAAAAAAAATTAATAAAGAAAAATCTAGTTTCTTAAAATCATGCGTTAATTCATGAATTACCTCCCATAGACCGAAAAAAAGTTTATACATTTTTGTAATTTTTGTTTAGTCGCTTTGGACCATTTCTGTCGACGACCCCCCCCCCCCCCCCCCCGCCCCCTTGATTCTAGAAGTTGCGGTTGTACAGGTTGTACATAAAATACACCAAAATCTAATGGGGTGGGGGAGATTCCGGCTCAAGTGAAAGGGAGATGGGTTCAGAAAGTAAGATTGCACACTTTTTTTTCATTTCCACAAAGTTTTGAAACTGAATCAAATAATTGTTATCAAATAGGCCTACATCAATACATTCAATCTTAGCAGAGCACAGTAGGCCTAGATATTTTTTTAAAATTAAAAACGCAACTTGTGGTTTGGCTTAGGTATACATTTTAATGGAAGTGGGTGAGGGGATAAAGCTCTGACATGTGTAAAATCGTGTTAAAAAGTGACATCGTGTGTCGATGAGCCAAAGGCCGAAAATGACCGATCTGAATTAATTAGTCCTTATCAAACTAATTTTGAAAATGTTGCTATCAATTACGCTTTAATTATTATAGCAATAGAATATCTCATAGTATTTCATTTATTTTAAAGCATGTTTTCCATAAAAGTGACATGTTATTTATCCATTTTTTGTTTATTTATTGATTCTCTCTTAATTCGGTACTAACATCTTTTAACTATCAATCCCGGACATTACGGACTTCTAAAGTCTACGGTCTTTCTTTATTGCTAGGTGAAAAATTGTAGGCCCTACCCCCGGCAAATGTTCACATTACTACGCGGACAGCGGCCCTCTACAAAGCGATATTCTGTTTTCAAACAAAACATGCACTTAAAAATAATGAATGGGAAAAGATTCACTGATGGGCTTGAACAATCATATTACAGTACAGTAAATCAAAATAATTCACGATAGGTTGTAATAACCACGTGGGCTAGGTAGCTATCAGGACTTTACAATGGACTGTATAACGACTCATGTGTTAATGGGTAAGCCTACGCTCTTTGCCCTGTGTATGGTTTATTAGCAATTGATTTAAATACTAGAGAGCCGATAAGCATTTAATTATCTTCACGTATGTGTTATTCACGGTTATATGAACATCTATATATATAATTCTCTTCTGGGTGACGCTAGAAAACAAGCTGTAAACGCGCTCCCTACCATCCCCACCCCCTACATTGTCTTAGTGAGCTGTGGTTCACGCTATGTTTACCTTCGTGGAGTCGGGTTTAGTGACGGCTATTAGGGGCAGATAATTTAGTTTGAAACGATTTTAAACGTTGGGGGGGGGGGGGGGGGTAAGGAAGGGGGGGGGGGGGGGTTATGGTCCTTAACGAGCTACTTATAGGGGGGGGGGGGGGGTTATGGTCCTTAACGAGCTACTTATAGTGTTTTAAAGAAATATTTTCAGTGTCAGCGTTGGTACTGTCGAATTCACAAATTATGAATTACTGAAAAGTAGAAAAAACAACTAAATAGCGGCGTATGTTATGCCGCGGGACGGCTCGTTGGTAATATATGGCTAATGGGATCTTCACGCACTGTTCAGTGCGGTGTGGAAGAGTGGGGTACAGGTGGGGGTGGGGCGTGTCTAGCCTCAAGGGCTGTAGCAAGGATGATGTAGTAGGCTATTATCAAGTGTCACTAAACTTGTGTAAATTAAAATTTAAGTAGGGATATACATTGTATTGAAGTGAGAAGACCGGCTAACAAACATAACGTAATTTGGTTTGTTGATAGTTATTCTGAGAATAAAGATATATTAATAGTAATTAATTCATTACCAGTTGTATACATATTTTGTGCTTACATAGAAAAGTCTATCTATAACTTACAACATAAGTGAACACGTATTTTATTAGACACATGGCTCTTCCACACATAACAAGACTTCTTCGCTTTCTCACCCTTCGTTTCATGTTTTCTCAACGTTTTATTTTTACTCCAAATTAAACATTCGAATCTCTAAGGCTTTGGAACCCTTAGTCATATAAGACAAAAACTTTTACACTTGCATTTAACATTATAGGCCTACCGTCTACAAAACTTTGTTTGCACATTAAGTTTACTGCAATACTTTTGGAAAATCGGATATTGATGCAGCACCACCCCCTAATTTTTGTATATCTATAGGGTAACAACTATTAACATACATTTTTTAAACACCCTAAAACGTGTTAAATTAATATTTTTTAAGCCAAGCATATCATACCATAACAACACAACACATTGACTCTAGTAATAAAATTAAAAGTAAAACTACACTAAATTACAATATTATTACCAATAATTATTCACTTGAATATTTCTAGCCTTAGTAAAACTGGAAGTCATATTGTTCTTATTTTGCGAATGTGATAAACTATTTAAAATCGGTTGGAAAATATTCATTCTGGCAACAAACATTGGAACCCGACTTTTCAAGCCTGTTTTTCAAACTCAGGTAGGCTTTTCCGGCTTCAATACACTGAAATAATAATCATTAAAAAAGTTTTAAAAAACCCACGTTTTCTGATTGAACTAAAAAGTAGAAAATAAATACTATACATCACAATAATGCAAGCGATCACTCTACTATAAGCGATGAAAAACGTGGGGCGCCGAAGTAAAAGTTATATTACTATTGATTAGATAATACTATTGACTTTTATTAGGGAGCTTGTAGAGAGTCAACAGTATTAGAAACTGTAAGAAAATCACGGCGCCCCACGTTTTTGATCGCTTATAGTAGAGTGATCGCTTGCATTATTGTGATGTATAGTATTTATTTTCTACTTTTTAGTTCAATCAGAAAACGTGGGTTTTTTAAAACTTTTTTAATGATTATTATTTTCTACTTTTTAGTCTTTGTCTGTTTGTTTGCATTAAAATCTTGCTATCGATTTTATCTTTTCACTTTTTTTTGGGTAAACGAAGACAACTCGTAAAAAGACAACTCGTAAAAAGACAACTCGAAAAAAACACGTTGTGTGAATACGTTACTGACTAGAACACATAGATTTGAACCCGTGTCGAGTGGGATAGCAATCGTGTGCCCAACCACTCGACCATATCGTCTCCCCCAAACTGGCCTACCTCCTGTAAGTTTAAACTAGGTTCAAGCTAAATTCTCTGCCCCTAAGCCTGTGGCGACATGTGATCGTTCGCTTCACTGCGCGCGAGGTACGCGTCGCTGGGTTTTTTTCTAATGGCTAGCAGAGGAGAATTATATATATAGATTATATAGCGGTCTAAAATGCTCAATAAAATGTTTCCATTGATCAATTTAGTAATAATAACAATTGAATATTCAATGGTCATCCAAAAGAAAGCTTCCCTGAAAATTTCAGCGCGCTAGCTATCTGGGAAGTGCCAGAAATTTCGATCGCAAGATTTGATTGGAAAGACAAACAAACAGAGAAAGCAAGTTAAAGAAAACGTGGGAAAATAAAACACTTATAATTATAGTAAATACATCAAATAAATAAATACTTAATAGAAAAGAAAAAAAAGAAATAATTAAATTAATTAATTAATTAATTAATCAATAAATTAATAAATTTAAAAATAAATTAAAAAAATAAATAAAAAATAAACAAATAAATAAATATATAAATAAATATATAAATAAATAAATAAATAAATAAAAAAATAAAAAAATAAATAAATAAATAAATAAATAAATAAATAAATAAATAAATAAATAAATAAATAAATAAATAAATAAATAAATAAATAAATAAATAAATAAATAAATAAATAAATAAATAAATAAATAAATAAATAAATAAATAAATAAATAAATAAATAAATAAATAAATAAATAAATAAATAAATAAATAAATAAATAAATAAATAAATAAATAAATAAATAAATAAATAAATAAATAAATAAATAAATAAATAAATAAATAAAT